TCGGATTGCTTTTTACATCGCTTTAAAAACCAAAGATACATCAGTGCCACATAAAAAATGGCTGATACTGCTAGTATAACTTAGGTAAATAATCACTGAGTTGTGGTCACAGCCCAAGTAAGCTGAATAGACTCGAACGATATTTTTCAAGTCTCCCAAGCAAGTGCGATAACTATAGGGGCATCACACTTCTCCCAATACCAGGAAAAGTCTTAAACAGAGTATTGTTAAACAGGATGAAGGATTCCGTAAGCTGTATTTCGTAAGGATAGATCGTGCACAGATCAAATCGCAACTCTACGTATCATTGTGGAACAATCAATCGAATGGAACTCATCACTCTACATCAACTTCATTGACTACGAGAAGGCATTTGATAGTGTGGACAGGACAACACTATGGAGGCTTCTTCGACACTACGGCGTACCTGAGAAGATAGTCAATATCATACGGAACTCCTATGATGGACTAAACTGCCAAATCGTCCACGGAGGACAACTCACCGACTCATTCGAGGTAAAGACCGGTGTTAGGCAAGGTTGCTTACTCTCACCCTTTCTCTTTCTCCTGGTGATCGACTGGATCATGAAGACGTCAACAACTGGAGGAAATCACGGGATACAGTGGACAGGCAGGATGCAGCTGGACGATCTAGACTTCGCGGATGATCTGGCTCTTCTATCACAAACGCAACAACAAATGCAGGAGAAAACGACCAGTGTAGCAGCAGCCTCAGCAGCAGTAGGTCTCAATATAAACAAAGGGAAAAGCAAGATTCTGCGATACCAGACAACATGTATCTATCGAATCACACTTGACGGAGTAGCTTTGGAGAATGTGAAAACCTTTACATATCTGGTCAGCATCATTGATGAACATGGTGGATCAGATGCAGATGTGAGGGCGAGGATCGGCAAAGCAAGAGCAGCATACTTACAACTGAAAAACATCTGGAACTCAAAACAATTGTCAACCAACACCAAGGTTAGAATTTTCAATACAAATGTAAAGACAGTTCTTCTGTATGGGGCGGAGACGTGGAGAACTACGAAAGCCATTATCCAGAAAATACAAGTGTTTATTAACAGCTGTCTATGCAAGATACTTCGGATCCGTTGGCCAGACTTTATCAGCAACAAGTTACTGTGGGAGACAACAAACCAGATTCCAGCGGAGGAGGAAGCGCTGGAAGTGGATTGGGCACACTTTGAGGAAATCACCTAATTGTGTCACAAGACAATCCCTCACATGGAATCCTGAAGGTCAAAAAAGAAGAGGAAGACCAAGGAACACATTACGCCGAGAAATAGAGACAGACATGAGAAGAATGAACAAGAACTGGATAGAACTAGAAAAGAAGGCCCAGGACAGAGTGGATTGGAGAAAGCTGGTCGGCGGCCTATGCTCCATTGGGAGTAACAGGCGTAAGTAAGTAAGTAAGCCAAGCAGAAGAATTACGAAGCCATTAAGACTCATGAACTTCACAAACACTGACCAGAGTGTCCTCTAACAAACCTTTATGCCAACCGAAAAAACACTAAATCGCTACCTAATTTTTTTAAAGTTTAAGTAGTATACCTAGTGAAAGCTGGTTTGAGCCTCTCATACGTGAAGGCTGTAGTAAAAGGAGTTTTCCATGTGAAACATACTTCTCAACTACTAATCAAGTCGGAAGATAAGTGATATTGATATTGTTTTCTAGTCTTTCTTCACTGTAGAACAGACTCACAAAATGAAATATTTGCGATCAGTGACTTCATTTTCCGCCTTATAATCATCAAACAGTCGTCTTAACAGCATACTATGAAGTAAGAAACAAATAATAATATTGGAAAAGCAATATAGATCACTGTGTAAATAAAAGTTAACAGATTGAATGACATCAATAAAAGGATGCTTTCATCATAAAATTGGACTGTATGAGTTTGACGAGATGTTTTCTGGGCTTATAAAATATTCTGATATCAGTGAACTAATAAATAGAACACGTTCGTTCTTATTATATGAAGCTACTATCTAACTTATGACAAAGAATCAACACTAGAATTACACTTTTATTGCCCTTGAAGAAGTACAAATGGTGCAGTTGAATCTCAACCTTGAACAGTTTCAACCTTATTAAATAAATGTAGGGTCTGAAATCATATTATCATTCTACGGAACTAAATATGAGCAAGGAAAGCTATCAAACGTTATAGGTCGTCTAAAGCTGTTAACGTGCCTAAAGATATGCTTGTCACGACCAGCTTAAACTTCTGAACATTTTGCGAATTATTTTCCTTATTTATTATTTTATTTATTTAAACACATAAATATTGGTACAATGAAGCACCAGATAAATATGAGCCGCACAAATCATTTGAGATTTGTGTGAGGGCTGTGATACTGCCCAGGTGCCCAGACTGAAGCAGGTGGTTTTCTTAGGGGACCACACCTCGAGCCTTTGATCTGAAGGTCTAGTCCACAAGGTAGTGGAGCATCGTGAGGAGATGCAGTCCCATGGTAGCCGGTGACCAACAATTGGTTCATACGCCATTCGTTCCTTCAGGATACTGGAGCCCATGTGCACCAATGGTTTGGAATCAGGGTTTTCCAACTCCCCTAGGTGAACTTTTTGTGAAGGATGAAAAACCCTAATAGGATTATTTGACCAGAGATATATGGTCAACCTGGTACATTATTGATCGTAACCCACAATAAATGACCTTTGTTTATTTATACTACCATTTTACAGTCTAAATAACCCTTTTCTTTCAATTACTTCCAATTTCGAACAAATAAGCTTTTGACCATAATCTTTATTATTTTCTTGACTGTCTGTAGTCAAGTACACATGTATTTAATATCGTGATAAAAAGTCTTGAAAGATAATTATTCCTCATCAAATAGAAACAATAGTGTAGAGTTAAAGTAAAACAAAATATTTTCATTTATTTAAAATTAGTATATACATTAGTCATATTAGGATAGCTACATGTGAAGAAACGGGAAAAAAAGTATAGTTTAATATAATAGTATGATATTACTATTAGTTTAAGGACTGTAACAATCATTATTATATTCATGTATAAAATGATAAAATGTAACTGTCATCTCCTTCTACAAAGTCATCTGAATTTCTTTTGTAGAAGGAGAACCCACATGACTTGATGTAGTGTTGATGTAAGGAAAAGAAACTGGAGCTGAAATGAATTTTTTTTAAATAAAAAAAAAATCAAATTGTTTGTGAAATTATGTATAACTGTAGATAATTATAATCACTTTGTAATGGAACTAGAATTACATCTTATTATACTATTCATTTATTGACAAGATCCCCTAGTTCCTCTACTAAGAATAATCGAATCCTATCTGTTGCCTTACATTATTTCAATCCATAGGATAATTATCTTCCCGGAACAATTTATCAACCACATCTTTTCGAAAAATCTAATTTTATATCTCTGTCTTTTGTATGTTACATTATTTTCTGTATCAACTTAATCATGGCGGTAAATTTTATTTTATTTATTTATTTGAACACATAAATATTGGTACAATGAAGCACCAGATAAATATGAGCCGCACAAATCATTTGAGATTTGTGTGAGGGCTGTGATACTGCCCAGGTGCACAGACTGAAGCAGGTGGTTTTCTTAGGGGACCACACCTCGAGCCTTTGATCTGAAGGTCTAGTCCACAAGGTAGTGGAGCATCGTGAGGAGATGCAGTCCCATGGTAGCCGGTGACCAACAATTGGTTCATACGCCATTCGTTCCTTCAGGATACTGGAGCCCATGTGCACCAATGGTTTGGAATCAGGGTTTTCCAACTCCCCTAGGTGAACTTTCCATGTCCACCAACCCGGTTAAAGCGCCGAGCATTCGCTTTTCGTTCTCTCAATTTCATAAAAAGAACACCCTTCACGAGAGGGCATTGAGTAGGACGTCCATGGCAGAGGCTATATTACGCATGGCCATGTGAGAGTATTTCGAGAGGGAGAGAGGACTTTCCCCACTCTCGGCCATACCAGGGCATTTGGGGGCATGGCGGCAAATTACTAAGCGTTTTGTAATTATTTCCAGAACATCATTTTTTTTTACTATCTTGTTGGAAAATTTACACTATTTCAATTAAAGGTACATTATCTATGAAACTTCAACCCACATTCACTTTTGAGTTGCTATTAGAATATTCTAATGTTTATTTGCAATACTGTTCAAGCTTCAACACTACCGCGTAGACATATTAAGATGGTCGCGAATTCGAATCTGCCTTCTTACAACGTTCTGGTTTCATACACGTATAACTTGAAAATTAATGTCAGGAGAATGTGATAAATTTCCAGTTTTATCTTTAATTATTTATGCTTCAACTGTTTTTCCACGTAAATTTCCATCCTCATATGCTAATTATTTGAAAGTAATTTACAGAAAAGTTAATGAAATACATTTTATGACTGCTGATAATATACTGCAAGGCATATACATGGCTTTAGAAAAATTCCTGTTCACTTTATTATTCGAATAACCTCTTTTATTAATTCCAAGTTTTCACTACTTCTATCTTCATATATAATTACTGTCTAATGAATAATGTCACTTCTCAGTCTCTACTGTTCTCTTTTACAGTGATTTTAAAGGTTATACAGGTAAGACTATAATTTATGGAAGACCTTTAAGTGATAATAAAGTGGCCTTTAGAAAATTCAATCACTAACTGGGTTTTAAAATAGGGTTATAATTTAGTATGAGGAATTAGGATTAATAGTGAAAGTTATGGCTTTCATAAAGAAGTAACATCTATAATCTGAAAATTATATAGAGTAATATAAGTGAATGAGTTTCGAGGGAAAATTTGCGAGTCATTATTCTAAATCCTATTGTTTCTTCTATGAACTATAGTCCTACCCCTGTACCATTTAAAGAGTGCGGCTTACAGTCAAACATTATAGTGTTTAAAATATTAACTCACCTTCAAAATGTAAATTATCAAGCTAAATAATACAGTTTTTATCTATATTACAGATTTAAAATTTCATTCCAGTGTATATTTGAATCAGCAATTGATGATGTCGAGATGTTATTTACTTGAGGAGTCTGATTTGCATTCATTAGTTTACTCTCTGACGAATGAGTTCTCCGTACATGACTGTCGTGAGCTGCATGTGAAGCGAACGGTTTCCAACAAAATTTACACTGTATTTAAAAGTAGAAACATTATTTTGAATAACTAATAATCAAAAATGCTCAGATATGAAGAAGAATACTAAAAATTGAAGATTTCATAAATATACAGTGTGGCGTGGATTACTTTTATCCACATATGTAGTATGTAATGATGGTCGGGTATTGAATGTATTTCAGTAGAAGATCGATGACGAAAGAACGCAAACGAAACGCAGTCGGTATGAAAATGAATGTACAATAATAATCAAAGACTATGGACTGATATTTGCAGAAGGATCGGTCAAGATTGAGACGATTGATTGATAGTTCGCAAATTAATTGTATGGTTGTCAGATTTTAGTGAGATATTCTGTAATTTTATGCTGAAACTCATTCGATTGTCCTCACTCTTCTTCTTGTTCACTACAACATTGTTTAATAACAATCTCCGCTGACTGATTGTTCTAAGAGATGCTTAGCACAGCGTACTCAAACGTGATGTGGTTCGGATTCTTGACGTAACACCTTTGCCTAGGGATGTACACAGTGAAACTAATGAGGTCAGTTTCATTGTCAAAGACGCATACAACTAGTTATTTTGGGGATTTATTTTAAAGAAGCTTATCATATTTGTAAGAAAGTTTAGTAGGTGAGAAGTAGTGACCAGTGGAATTCAACCAGGTCTGTTGTAAAATAGTAACTGACTAAAGATAATGGTGGACGGTTGCTCAACTTCGTGAGTTGGTTAAAGTTAGGCATTAACACCGTTGGATGTCGGCTCAATGGTCTAGAGGTTAAGCGTTCGCGAGCAAGACAGATAGGTCCTGGGTCCTATGATATGGCATTAATTACTACTAAGCAATCAGCCAGCATAAACTATTTCATAAACAAGAGGGTAACTGCAACCTTCAAACCTCCTTGCTATCATTTTTGATTACATGATCTGGCAATATGAATTCAAATCTCACCGGTCATCTGACGATCGGAAATATGCTTCATTGGATAGTTCCAAATAGCAAAGAAACTAATTTGTTATAACATCCAAAACACAAAATTCGACATATAGGACAAGTAGACTTCGTCAAGCAATAAAATCCAGGATCCTCATTTCGTCTTATTTTTGAATTTTTTTTCAGCTAGACGGTCCTGTATTCCAGAGTTGATGTCCAGTCCGGGATTTAAACTCAGTACCTATTAATTTAAAGTTCTCTGAGTTATCCACTTAGTTACTGAGTTCGGATAGCCCCTCACGTGTGCAATGCGTATGAGATATAATTCAACGTGAAATAGTTAAAAGTATCTCGCTTTTGATATTTTGGCTGAAATTTGATCAGTTTTAGTTGACATATGCTTATCTCGTGAGGATCATTTCGATACGGAGATTATGTTACAAGTTTATATAAAATAAATTGCCAAGTCAAGTAGTTTAGTCCAGCTGACGAGTCACAAATAGAACAAGACGAGCAAAATTTGGCGCATTCATACGAAATCACTAATCGAAGCCTACCACCTAATATTGATATTATTTTTTAAAACATCTCATTACACAAATAATAAAATGATAACAAATGTTATTTAGCACAAAATAGAAACATGAATTTCTGTTGATCCGTACATACGTACTACTGAATAAATTCATTTGGTGTTGTTTGTCTGAATCTTCCCATCGATGTGTTAGGACTGCAACTGGTCAGTCTCTAATTGGCATATGTGCATACTGTGCGTATTGCCTCGATATAGCCTTAATTCACCCCATCACACAAGCAAGTGGCTATCAGGACTCAGTGGCCGAGTGGATAAAGCAATGGCGTTTGAAGCGAAAAGTACTGTGTTCGAGTCCCAGAGTGAACATCAACTCTGAGATGCAGGTACATCCAGCTGATAAGTCCCAAATAGGACGAAACGCGCGTCCTGGATTCCACTGCTAGTCAATATCCATCTTTGCTTACAATACTACCGAATAGTCTAGTAGTTTGAAGAGATCTAGGGAATATTCAAGTAGATATTCTTTGTTTTTGATTAACGTAAGTTAAAATTGAATCTACATTGAAAATGTATTTTTGTATGTACAATAAAATCTTCATTACCCATTAGATTTAAAAAGACAATAATAAAAATGAATAAATTTATCTTATCAATCAAAGCAATATCATCTATCAACCTACTTTAAAAGGCTTCTCTCCTGAATGTTGTCGAATATGAGTACGCAGAATACTACTGGCTGTAAATGCTTTATTACAATAACAACATTTATAAGGACGTTCACCACTATGTACCTAAAATAGGTTGAAAAGGTTTTTGATCTTTGCATTAAGCTTTCTTTTTTAAAAAAAACGTTGGTTAAAACCTTTTCAGAATATTTAAAACAGTGATTTGAATAAATAGTTTTACATTTCCAATCCCATTCAAATTTCAAAACTTAGTATAATTATCATTATTAACAATCAGTTTATAATTTAGATAGAAATAATTAAATTCGAAATAAGTTTAATAGTTGAATCCGTTAGTCAGTTAAAGCTAGACAATTATGGAAAACCTGGAAGCACTGGATGGACATTTCGTCCTAGTATGGGACTCTTCAGCAGTGCGCGTCTGCGATCCCGTTCATATGATTCCGACTCAGGACCTTTGGTCTCGCTCGTAAGCGCTTAATCTCTAGACACGAAACCCCTTTCCGATAATAATCATTATGTTCTCACTAGTGACTGGCTTCAAGAGGTATTTCCTGGAGTTCTGGTGAGATGTGACCAGTAGAGTCCAACCGGGCCTGTTATGAGACAGTAACTCATTGAGGACGATGGTGGATGGCGGCGAAATCTCATAGATTGACTGAAGTTAGACATTAATACTGCTGGATGTCTGCTGAGTGGTCTTGAGGTTAGGCGCTCGCGAGAGACTGATAGGTCCTGAGTTCGAATCTCACTAACGGGATCGTGGGTGCGCACTGCTGAGGAGTCCCATACTAGGACAAAACGGCCATCCAGTGCTTCCAGGTTTTGCATGATGGTCTAGCTTTAATTGACTAATGGATTCAACAGTTAAGGTTACTACAATCTCTAGAAAACCCCTTTCTGAGTTAAAGAAATGATTCTCGTAAATTCCAACTTGATGAACTTATAAGTAACCTACTATACATTTTCAAAAATTAAATAATAATATGCTTTTTTACTGATGTAAAAGTAGTTTAATAAAGATTTGCTTAGAAAAAAACACTTACCAAGCACTATAGAAGAAACTACTCTATACATCTAAGTTGTTTTCTGGCATGACTATTGCGTTAAATAGATCAAAGTTGGTTATTCTTCAAACAGTTTCGAAGATTTCTATTTCTATGTATACTTAAGCTAACGTAAATCACATAATAAAAGGGAACTTTGAATATACTAGGAACTCCTTTGAATTTAAAGGAGGTTATTAGACACAATGTTCAAGTGCATATAAGATAAAACTGGATAACAAATGTATGATATTTATTGGAACTGAATTTACCTGAAGAACCATTAATATCCAGGCAATGTAAATGATATTTCATCCTATTTTAAAATCATCTATTATTATGTTTATTTCACATATTCTTCGATTGAATCACTGACAGATTTTCTTTTAAATAGAATGTCAACTTTAAAATTTCAATAAACGATTCTTTTCATTATCAATCTTACTTTATCACAACTTAAGCCAATTTTTCAGATTCTTAATACAAATACGATGTGTTCTGTGGAGGTTATTCGACCTTTAGTTAAAATTTCTTTATATCACTTGTTAGTTTTACCAAGTGGTCAATGGAAAATATTTTATTTTATCAGATAAGTTAGCTGTTAGATTATTAAGTCGCTTAACTAGAATATAGACTTATGTGCGGATAATAAAACTTCGAACATTAACCGATGAGTTATCAACTATCAAACTATAACCTGTGGAAAAAGTTGTAACCCCTGACCTTCTTTTTAAGTTGACACCTATAATGTTGTGTAAAATGATTGTAAATGTTCCACAGTGAAAATATTAACCTTAGAAAAGAATAGCAAACATGAAACCCAATCATCTACATGACACACTATATTGGATATTTGAAAAAAAAAGAATAAAAATTTGCAGAACTATAGGTTTATGTGTAATTAAAGAAGATATTTTATTGTAACTTACACGTAAATGTTTATTTAGGCTTGATGATTGACTAAAATTCTTTCCACATAAATGACATTTATGTGGTCGATGTTTTTCATGAACATGTAATACATGTATTCTTAGTCGATCACGTTTTTCAAATGACCTTGAAGTGATGTGATAATGATAAATTTATAATATTTAACATTAGTTTGATTGTTTAACAAACATTAGATTTAAATAATAATAATAATAAAGATATCTGATAAATGAACATGCTTAGGGCCTCTTGTATCCACAATTAATTGATCACTGGTTGGTGATCAATGTCATGTGTGTCAAGTCCGCCTTAGTGCTGATCGAATGCTATCGATCAAGTTGCAATGTGGCCACTAGTCTAGGTGGCTCGACACTGCGTGCACTATATTGAGATAAGATGGTGGTTGGAGGTAGTCAACAGGAAACCCTGGACCCGAGTTTCATACTACTTGGCACTCGTCAGCAAGGTGTACCTTTAATGTTGAGGGAACTGGTGCTCCCTGACGGATTCGATCTCGTGTCACCCAGCTTCACAGTCAGAGACGTTACCACTGACCTAATCGGGCCGTGATCAATCATCTGTAGAACTTGACACGCATGACATTGATCACCACCCAGTGATCAATCAATTTTGATTACATATCAGTCCTACAGGACTGAGGAGTCCCACATTAGGACGAAACGGCCGTCCAGTGCTTCCAGGTTTTTCATGGTGATATAGCTTCAACTGACTTATGATCTCAACTATTGAAATATAATTTATAATAATAATTATTATTAATTATTATTATTAGCTTTATTCAATATTATATTATTTGGTACAAAATCGAATTCTCAGCATAAAGTATTTCAACATGTGTACGTTTCTTATTTCTTCGTTGCTCCTGATGATAAATATTCAACGATCGCCAGTTAGATGTCAGCAATTCACTCAATCGACATATGAATAATGCATATTCTTTTTGCTGCATGTTCTCAGCAAACACGATATCTTTGATTAGGCCTTTTGTAACCTTTACAGCGAAAGGTTGTACAGTTTTCAGAAACGTATCTGAATAGGTTGTGTGCTTAATAGCCATAATGATGTATTAAAACAAACAATATTAGATAATTTATTGAAATATATAGATGACAGGAACAGGTAGCCCAGATGTTTAAGCAGGCCGCCCAAAAGAACCTAATAAATATTACTACATGATTAAACCATCTAGATCAAAGAAGTTGACATCACCAAAATATTTCTATACTGTTTATTTGTTTTTGTTTCAATGTAGTCTATTAATCCTCAGTAACATTTTTCACACGACAAGATTCCCAATCAATAAATTCATTTTATTTTATAAAATTGAATATGTTTATACAATTTGCCTAAAAGATTATTTTATTTATCTCATGTAATAAAACAATACATACCTAGAACAAAGTTTACATGGATACTTTCTATCACCTTGATCCATACATCTTGTATATTTCAAATGTTTATCCCGATAATATTGATAAGCAAACATTTTTCCACAACGATCACAAGTATAACCTTCATGAGCTATAAAAATAAGTCAATCAATATTAATGGGATCGCATAATAAAATATTGTATTATTTAAGATGTATTAAATCTGGTTAAGCTGATGAATAGTTCGATTAATAATACAAGATTTCACTACATCAATTATATCTAAATAATATTCTATATCAATCTATTAAATACTGTTATGTTATGAACTTAGAGAATATGATGATTTCGTAATCCAACTTCATAATTTATAGTACTGAGAGGATTCATGAACAGTAATAGTCATTCACTTTTTATGTATAAATGGTAACAATTCCTAATTGAGTGTTCTTTCCATGTGTTTAGATTTTGTTTAACATCAACATGTTTGTACTGAATGACTATTCTGACTATTGTATACTCTAAATGTTTTATTATCATTCGTTTTTACTTATGATACATTTGTAGTGCCTCAATTCGTTAATCGTTTACTTCGATAACAGTTATAATTCTAATCTTAACGGCGCGTAAAATCAGAAGACATAGGATAGCAGCAACTACAGTTTATTGTCGAATAACTCAGGTGAGAAAGTTAGCAACACCTGAGCGAATAATAACGATCGAGTGAACAGGCGAATAAGTGAAGGAAGCGAACGAGGTGGAAATGACATGCAGTGGAGATGGCTGGAAAGCCAACTCAATTTAAGCGAGCGTTAATCAACATTTATAGTAGGACAAAAATGAGTGACAGACACACGATGAATAAGATACGAAGTGTGCACACATATACGCTCATATAAAAAGTACTCAAGGTTAATTAGCAAATGATTAACAAGATCAAAATATGACTCATAATGGATAAGCGAATTGGCTTGGCCAGTAACTAGAATAAAGTATATGGGCTTAACAAATAAACTGATACTACACGTTCTAACAGTATAAAAATTGGTCGATTTCAAATTCACATTTTTTCAGTTTTTGGTAATCTGTATAGTCTATATGTAATTACTTTGTAACTAATATTCATCATAATTCAATTACTATACTGTTAGAAATGATTTAATTATTCTGAAATAGTTGACCGCTTCTTTCACTATGCTATTGTTATCGACAGATATAAGTAGGATGAATCATCAATCGAAAGTGTAATGCTTTATGGTAGAAGGTTGAGATGATCGAAGAGAAGAGAACAAGAACAGAAAATGATTGGTGTGGAAACGAAGAACTAATAAAATCTGAGACATATGATTGACATTTTGCAAATGAAGTATTTACTGTATGTATGGATCTAAGAGATTATGTGATTTTGTATTCAACTATATTTCGTTGGAAGCACCATCACAAGGAATGGATCACTGTTGGCACATTGGATAAAATTGAAGCAAGGAGGAACAAGAAGGTAGCAATCAATATCAGCCGAACAAGAGCAGAAAAAGCCAAGGCACAAGCCGAATACACAGAGGCAAACAAGCAAGTGAAGAGAAGCATCAGGACCGACAAACGTAAATATGTGGAAGATTTAGCGATGACAGCGGAAAAGGCTGCAAGAGAGGGAAACATGAGACAACTGTATGATACAACAAAGAAACTTGCTGGAAATTACCGTCAACCAGAAAGACCAGTGAAAAACAAGGAAGGCAAAGTAATCAACGATATTGAAGAACGACAAAACAGGTGGGTAGAACACTTCAAAGAACTCTTGAATCGACCAGCCCCACTGAACCCACCCAACATCGAAGCAGCACCCACAGACCTCCCAATCGATATTGGCCCACCAACAATTGAAGAGATCAGCATGGCCATTAGACAAATCAAGAGTGGCAAAGCAGCGGGACCAGACAACATCCCGGCAGAGGCACTGAAAGCAAATGTAACAGCAACTGCCAAGATACTCCACATCCTCTTCGGTAAGATTTGGGACGAAGAACATGTACCAACAGACTGGAAAGAAGGACTTCTGATCAAGATACCAAAGAAAGGCGATCTGAGCAAGTGCGACAACTACAGGGGCATCACTCTCCTCTCAATACCAGGAAAAGTCTTCAACAGAGTATTGTTAAACAGGATGAAGGATTCCGTGGACGCTCAACTTCGAGATCAACAAGCTGGATTTCGTAAGGATAGATCGTGCACAGATCAAATCGCAACTCTACGTATCATTGTGGAACAATCAATCGAATGGAACTCATCACTCTACATCAACTTCATTGACTACGAGAAGGCATTTGATAGCGTGGACAGGACAACACTATGAAAGCTTCTTCGACACTACGGCGTGCCTGAGAAGATAGTCAACATCATATGGAACTCCTATGATGGACTAAACTGCCAAATCGTCCACGGAGGACAACTCACCGACTCGTTCGAGGTAAAGACCGGTGTTAGGCAAGGTTGCCTACTCTCACCCTTTCTCTTTCTCCTGGTGATCGACTGGATTATGAAGACGTCAACAACTGGAGGAAATCACGGGATACAGTGGACAGGCAGGATGCAGCTGGACGATCTAGACTTCGCGGATGATCTGGCTCTTCTATCACAAACGCAACAACAAATGCAGGAGAAAACGACCAGTGTAGCAGCAGCCTCAGCAGCAGTAGGTCTCAATATAAACAAAGGGAAAAGCAAGACTCTCCGATACAATACAATATGCACCAATTCAATTACACTTGACGGAGAAGCTTTGGATGATGTGGAAATCTTTACATATCTGGGCAGCATCATTGATGAACATGGTGGATCAGATGCAGATGTGAGGGCGAGGATCGGCAAAGCAAGAGCAGCATACCTACAGCTGAAAAACATCTGGAACTCAAAACAATTGTCAACCAACACCAAGGTTAGAATTTTCAATACAAATGTAAAGACAGTTCTTCTGTATGGGGCGGAGACGTGGAGAACTACGAAAGCCATTATCCAGAAGATACAAGTGTTTATCAACAGCTGTCTATGCAAGATACTTCGGATCCGATGGCCAGACACTATCAGCAACAAGTTACTGTGGGAGACAACAAGCCAGATTCCAGCGGAGGAGGAAGCGCTGGAAGTGGATTGGGCACACTTTGAGGAAATCACCCAATTGTGTCACAAGACAAGCCCTCACATGGAATCCTGAAGGTCGAAGGAGAAGAGGAAGACCAAAGAACACATTACGCCGAGAAATAGAGACAGACATGAGAAGAATGAACAAGAACTGGAAAGAACTAGAAAAGAAGGCCCAGGACAGAGTGGGTTGGAGAAAGCTGGTCGGCGGCCTATGCTCCATTGGGAGTAACAGGCGAAAGTAAGGTAAGTATATTTCGTTGCCCTCGCCTGTGGTCTCGCTCACTACACTACTACTATTTGTCAGTTGTTAGCATGCATTTTTGCATTAGAATAATCTTGGACTCAACAAGTAAGAAATATGTGAGAAATATTAGTAAACGCTTTTATTCAAGCTCCCATTATCATTTCAACATCATTTATCTATGAGAGTACATTGTTTAATTTTTCACAAGGTAATCAGCTTGTTCTCGTTTAATTAGGTCATCATTGACCGTTTTCAAAGTGCGAAGATTTTCTTTCTGTTCTTATACTTATGAACAAAAATTAGTTTTACTGTGGTAGAAATGGTAACAGAAAATATTTTCAATAATATAATATACTACTAATAAATATGAGTGATTAACTGCTTACAACATTAGAAATCTATACGCGCACCAGTCGAGTTCAATATATAAAGAATTATTTTTTAGAGAAACTTTAAGCTTAGCAGTTGGTGATATATTTACAATTACTTTATATCCTGATATCTAGTTTAGATTTTAACTTTTACTGTCATTAATTACCTGGACTTGTTTCAATCATATGAGCAGGTTCCAGTTGTCCTTGAACACCATTCATCATTTGTTTTAATTGCTGATTATCATTTGAATATTCTGTAGCATGATTTTTAAGATAGTTTGAATGAGATGAGATTAAAGTGTAATCGTTGGATATTTTAGGTGATGAAACATAGGAAAAGGCAGATTTCATTGATTCTTCACTGGGCGATATATTCGTTTTCTTATGATATCGTTTTCCAGATAATTTCGACAAATTATCTTTATCATTCCATGATTTATCCAATGGATTGCCTAGCGATGTATTCAAATTTGAATTTTTGGTTTTTTGTTGTTGAAATATCAAGTCAGGTATAGTTGAATTATTCATATATTTTTTTATATTTAAATTATTTGCGTCTATTTTGTTTAAATCTACTATGCTCTGACCAATATTAGGGTATTGGGAATAAGGATTTGATACTTGAGAATCATGTTTTGTATACAGTTTTCTAGACTTTGGATTGGTAGAAGAATTAGATAGTTTTATATTTGCATTGATAAGCAGAAACATATCATGTAATGGGTTCTTTTCACTATATCATACAAAATAAAATACGTTTAATTCATATTTTAATCATAAAAATCAATCGAAAAAAAATCACTTATTTGAATAGAGTTTTGATGACACTGTTGTTCATACCGTCTACTTAATTAGTTTACTGTTGGTCAGATATAACAAACAGTTGCTGCCAGAATGATGTAAAAAGTTGATCGGAAATCAAATAATGAGGCAGTAAGTGTTTGGAGATTTTCGACAAAATGCTCTGGAACTAGGTTTCGTGCTAGTTGACACTCGTCAACTAGATTTACCTGTAATCTTAAGGGAACAGGTAATCGTTGTAGAATTCTATCTCTCGTCTTCCAGCCTCAAATCCTCAGGCCTTATCAGCGTCAATTTTATGTCGATTTTATTTAGTGATTAAGTCTGGACAGAATTTTGTTGATCAGATTTCTAAGCGACTAGACATCTTGTGCATTATCTCTCAGTGCTATACGAGATCAGTTGCAGCCCAAATAGCTTAGTGATAACGTTTCGGACTTTGAAGCTGGATAACACGGAACAGAATCCTACAGCAAACAATCTTGACCTCAAGATTACAGATGAATCTTACTAAAGAATCTCAACTAGCATGTATCCTATACCCATAATTTTCTTTCGGATACTTACAACCACCTAACACCTTAGAAAAGTGAACGCAATTTGCAGTTATTTAAATAGGTGACTACATTTCACCTTCATCGATAGAATTCAATCAATATTAAAGGACTAGACAAACATGGTATTAATCATTTCTTAATGATCAATCATTTGTATAGACAGAGCATTATCTACACTAATGACATCAACAACATGAAGCTTTAGCTCTTTAGTTTAGAGTTATGCTACAAATTTTCTATATAATATCAGTTTAGATGTTAAGAGACAGTTTAATTCCTTCTATATCAAATAACCATCAATCAATTTTAAGTTGTTCATTGTTAATGAGAATGTTTTTAAAGGTAATATTTATGAGGACAATATCATGACTATCAGATCAACGTTGTTATGCATTGATAGTATTTTATGATTTAATTATTCCATTAATTCTGTTAAAAAATATGGAGTACATATCGGTTACCTCATACACCAAAGCTAATTATATAACCCTGTAAATGACTACTGATTTATATTAAAATTGCAGTTTGATATGAACTAAATGCACTGATTATCACCGCGGTGCTATAAAAATATCCATTAGTAGTCAGCAGACTTGATCTAGGAGAAAAAGATGTAGATTAACTCCGTCTGATTCATCTTACGAGATCTAGCACTAGTCGATCACTAATAAACACAGCAAAACACTCAACCTGCTTCAGGAATTTAAGCGTATAATGAACTATCATAATAAAAGAAAACTTATGTGTTTTATTCTACCAATCAAAAACAGAAAGAAGACTTGATATTTGTAGCCACTCATTTATTACCCAGAGGAGAATACTGTGTAGTTTGAAAACAATAAATGATGGAAAAACAACATAGATAATATCTACATTAATCAAATGACTAAGAAATAAGGGAAAATCCGTGTTCATGGTTCGAATGGTGGACAAAAGTAGGATAATCAAATAGATATACTAATCATTACTTCAGAGAGATCGCGTGTTAATACTGATTGAAGATTCCAGGTTACATATTGTTTAGGTCCACGGTAAGCTCAATCTAAGAGTTTCAAACTAGGACATAAAACCCATCCAGTCCTTCTATGATTTCAATAATTATCAAATCTGGTGTCCAGCTGGATAAAAAGTGAACTTTAAAACGGTTAATTCTTTCACTTTCTAACGACCTATCTGACTAAATAATTTACTGATTCCATTTATACATATTGTCACACATTATCATACATTAATTTCGTACTTATTCTAGAACTTGACACACTATCCAACTTGCTAAATAATTTTGTGACATAGCTTTTGATTAATATCAGAAGAGGTTTTGTGGATATTAAAGTAGTTTCAATAGTTGAGATCATGAATCAATTGAAGCTAGACCACTATGGAAAACCTAAAAGCACTAGACGGGCGTTTCATCCTATTGTCGGATCCCTCAGCAGTGCGCTTTTGAATAAAAAAGACGATTGATGTGCTACATATAGACAAAGCGCATGCATAAAAACATAAAAAATGTTTAATGTAGTTAACGTCGTTACGTAAAAATGTACAACAATAGGTCATAATAATTGAGTGAAAAAATGAGAACTTAGTTACATGATGTGTAGATCATCATTATTCATAAGTCTAATCAATGAACGCTCGTTCCGATCCTTTAGCTGCTTCTACTAACACTGGATTTAATCTGCACGGAAACTTGAACACAAGAGAAAAGGTGTGAAGTACGGAAAGAACGCTTTACTCTGAGGTTAGATATATGCACCGAAAAATGAGGGTATTTATAGAATGACACACGAACTTAAGCTTCTGAAAATTTCTGAAACCGTATGGTAGCAGTATAGGTAAATATTCTATCAAAATCTTAGCACATGACTCCGCATGTTCTGGATATTTTTGAGAAGATTCTTCTCAATGTCCATTGAACAAAATGTTTCCTAGAGTTTCTAGGAACCTAGGGGCTTTAACAAAATATTATTTTTGGAACTTCTCCAATAATTATCTCACTAAGTAAGATTAAGTCCATGTAAGCATATACAAAGTTAACACCACTTATATACATTAAAAATCTAGAACTCTTCTATTATTTCCATCTTTGACCTAAACTTGTTCAAATTCAACATGTATCTGGAGAAGAAAAAAAAACATTTACCTACAACAATAATCCATCTGATTACCAGCCAAAAGATATATTGATCAAATTACACATTCAATGTAAATTAATTCTTCTATATATTTTCATAAAAGAATACTTGACGTAGTTAATCTAAGATACTACTGTTCACAGTTAATTTATTCAGAAGGGGTTTTGTGGAGATTTCAGTATTTTCATAGTTGAAATCATTAGTCAATTGAAGCTAGACCACTATGGAAAACCTGGAAGCACTTGACGACCGTTTCGTCCTATTATGGGACTCCTAAACAGTGAGCATCCACGATCTCGCCATCCAGTGCTTCCAGGTTTTCCATAGTGGTCTAGCTTCAATTGACTCATGATTTCAACTATGAAAATTAATTTATTAATTATGTATACATATTCAATTAATTATCATTAACAATGTCACTTACTTTAATAAAAGTTCTTCACCAGTATGAATATATCTTTGAGTTTTAAAATAAAATAATCTTTGTCCATTATATTTATTGAATGTATTCATGAGCTGAGAATCATTACCCAATAAAACATCATTATTAGTATTATTGGTAGTTTTTAAATTATCCATTACAGATATAATCATAATGTTCGATTGGGTTAAATTAGTATTGACGATAATATTTTGTTCTGTTTGAGTTGAAACATCACGAACCAATGTCATCCATAACATAGTTGTATTTTGTAAAGTATTAAGAATCGAATTATCTACAACTGTCTGCATATCACTTATCTAAGTGAAATAAAAAAAATATTTTTTTATAATAAGTTTTACAGGGTTTTATATGGTTGAAATCATGAGTCAATTGAAGCTAGACCACCATGGAAAACCTGGAAGCTCTGGATGGCCGTTTCATCCTATTGCGGGACTCCTCAGCAGTGCGCATCCACGGTCCCACCTCGCGAGATTCCAACCCAGTCTCGCGCGCGAGCACTTAACCGATAGACCACTGAACCGGCATACAACGGTGTTAATGTTCAACTTCAACTAATCCACAAAACTGAGCAACCATTCACCAATATCTTCAGTAAGTTGATATCTCACAACAGACTTGGTTGAACTCCACTGGTTACTGCTTCTCACTAAAACTCCAGGAAATACCTAATGGAGCCAGTCACTAGTGAACATATGATCATTATCAGGGTATTGTTTAGTGAACATATTTACTATGCTTTGTATAAATATGAAAAAGAAATAATCCTTCCTATTAGTATCTATTTAATAAAATTTAACTGAAGACAAAAAAGGGCATCCAAATCTTCAAATCAATAAGTATTTATAATGTGATATATTGAAAACAATACTTTCATGAAGAGTATTCCTGGAAGAATACATTATTCAAGAGAAGACGAGTAATATGTCGTTGTAATCTGTATCATATTTTATAATTCCTCTTAATAGAAATTAAAATTTCACTTTAAGCTACTGAATTTCCGAAGTTCAATTGTTTGTTGGTTCAATTTCTAATAATCTATTATTTTGATCTACTGATGGAGAATTGTCAAAGTACTTGTACATATTAGTGTTATATCCCGTGGAGATTTATCAATGGTAACTTGAGAACTATTTATGGACCAATATGATATGTATATTTCCTATTGTATAATTGTTAAGCAACTAAACTATTCATATTCGTGTCCCTCTTATCATAAGCTTTATTTTGATCCAGAGACTATTATTATATGATTTGCCATTCTTGATTTATCCCTAGTCCATTAATTACTGTATCCCCTATTCACAGCCACATTTGGCTAATTCTTGTTCAAATGTTATTTTTTATTTTATGGTACGATGTGGTCTGTCTGTTTGGTATATAAAGCCAGTATGCTTGAGAATAATGATTCTTATTGTAGAGGCTCTTATTGGTGTTCTGGACTTAAAAGGCTGGGCTAGGCAGAAAGCAGGAGTGATACGTACTCAAGACTGCTCATACAGTTTAGTGTATCATTGGGCGATCGATAAATTCACTGCAAACTGATAGGCGGGGATCATCACGTTCATATATAAACAGGGCACGCACTCAATCATACGATATAAAAATTAGCTACTCATTTATTTTACTCTTCTTTGATTTCTCTATTCAATATTTTATGTTAGCTTTACTTAATTTCAAAGAAATCAGTCCTTTAATTATTTCACTGTATAATCAAGTTTTATTTAAAGTTTGTTTTTTCATACATATGAACTTTAAGAGAAATTAATCATCAATACTAGGCCTACTGGACATAGATATATAGAATCAGATATTAGTTAATGGATTTAATCAATCTGAAGAAGTGTAGTAGAGTGGTTTTAGGATGTAATAAGTCAGTGTACCACTATCAATCACTTTGACTTCATATAAGCAAGTTTGAGCCCATTTAAGAAATTACTATGCGGTTAACTTATAGAATAATTGTCAGCTATGACAAGATATTATAACCATTAGAAGTTATAACCAAAATGATGTGTTTTCTATCAAGAATAAATTAGACTAATTTGAACATATACCAGTTGTCTTAAACTTCAAATGTAACGATTTCAATACAATTACGTGTCCGAGAATCCACTAACATTTGGATAATATAATCCACATTTTCGTACAACAGTATTCGGAACCTATTAGTTCGTAATAGAAAGTCACTGAGAGAAGAATTCCGAGAATATGCAAAAATTAGTTGAATAATAAGCAATGACTAATCACATGATTTGATTGATTTCTTCGTACATTATCCTCCGCAAAGTTCTCGACACAGCATACTAAACTTTTTTTCTATATATTTCATTTTAAGTTGCTGACCAACCCCTTAGTCATCCAGTTTCGTTGATGATATCAATGAAATAACGATTAGATTTTTACTACTTATAAGTAAGCAAAATTGTCTGTCAAAATTAATAGAACTCAAGTGCTACGATTGTATAACTCAAGATAAGCAGTAGATGGAAATTCACCATCCAGACAGTTTTTAGATAAACTTACATAGAATATCAGCTTAAAGGATTCCGTTTCTTTTATAAAATACAATATGATATAATAAGACCACGTCAATAGTAGCAATTAAAGCATTCCATGTATACACTTCAATTAGTTTAACTCTGTTTCACAAGTTAACAAAAATATGAATCAAACGTCAAAGTATCTGACCAAAGATCACATTTTATTCTAATATGATATAGATAAAGAAATGTATGACCGCTAAAAAGAGGGCCGTTGGGACAAAAGAAATGAGTCATTAGAATCACTTGACTTTCATACGAATAATCGATACGTTCTTGGTGTTTTTATTTATGCTTTTTACATGAAATGTTGGCTGAAATCTACTATACTTAACCAGGAAAACATTTAGATTCCAAACTGTCATATTAAGAAAAAGATTCCCATACTAAGACGAAACGGCCATCCAGTGACTCCAGTTTTTCAATGGTGGTCTAACTTTAATCCATTCATGATCTTAATCAAAGCTCAACAATCTCCACAACCGAATATTATAAATCAATATTCATTATTCACAAGATAGCCTTACTAGACACTCGAGTAAACAATCTTTATGATGGTTCACAAATCAACGTTAATGTAATCCATCACTGTTTTAAACTTACAGAAAGTAATTTCGCACTTTTGTGTACACATGGTTGATTAACTGTTTCAATCATTTTAAAGCATTCATTCATAGAGAATGGTCCCAATAAAGTTCCAGATAAAATTGGTTTTGAGCAAATCACTTGATACTGTTCTTTTTTAGTTTGTTTAATAATTTGTAAAACAGTTGGTTCACATTTGTTTGAATGATTTTTTAAATCATCCATAGTTAACAAAGATTTATGATCATCTACCAGCTGAACAACATCTTGCTGAATTGTTATAATTTGTTGTTCACTATTTAAGAGCTGATTATTTTCTAAAAGATAATAATCATTGAAAGATTAGTTTTGTTTATAAAAATACAAGCTAAACTTTTATTCCGATTCTTTGAAAATGCAAACAAAATAATCATTTTTCTGGATGAGATCTACAGCTTTTTTGTGGTGAATGTTTTACCCCTACTAAGTATGAGAGTCGCTAATACTTTAATTTCCAATGATCCTAAATCTCTGAAGGGATAAATGTATAATCTTTGATCAGGTCTATTCATACAATATAACTTTAACGTATTGAACATATGATATAGATCGTAAATGTATTTTGCAGTAAGGTAGTTGTTTTTTTGTTAACGCTTATTATTACTGAGTGTTTTAGTGTAACTAAATAGACAAGAAGACAATCATAAAATGATTGATGCAGATTGCTAAAATTGTACCTTATAATTCAAAAGATCAACGTTGGTTGATATGATTTTTACTTATGATCAAGATCATTGAATGTAGATCTTTTGAAGGATGCTTTGATAATCCTGGGTCCATGATATTCCCATTTTATAAGTGTATTTTGTGCTTGTTTGGACAGCATCAATGCAACTCCTTTTATATGTGGGGCATTCCCTTCTTCATGGCTGGAGTATAACAGAGGCTCTCCTGAAGCTAGTCTTTGTTGTCCTACTCGCGTCCAATGTGTTTCACTGATCCCAAACACCTTCATGTTGTATCTCCTCATTTTTGCAGCAATTTGGAAGACTCTCCCGGTCTCTCATATTGTACGGAAGTTTCATGTACTTAAATTAATGGTTGCTCTGGTTGTCAGAAGGTGCATCAGCCTAGTGGCTTCCGAAGGATCTTGGCTTTCACCATGAGGCGTCAAAACTCTTCTTAACGAGGACCTTCTGACTCCTATGGCAGCTTTGAAATGGTTTGAATAATTTCTTTCTGGTTAGCGTTTTTTTTAAGGAGTTAGTTTTCTAAGGGATACGGTCGCTATCCCAGTGCCCAACACTACTCCTTTATCCAGGCTTGGGATGGGCAGTAGCACCCGCAGGGACTACAGGCGGGGTTTTGAGTACACGAAATATTTGTTGACCAAAATTTTCAAAATTTTATCCAGACTGAATCATTTTTTTACAAATAACACTTGGAGAATTAATTCATTTACACTGAAATCATCTTATAATGAGGTAGGGGATTTAAGTTAGTGTTAAAACTAGGTCTAAGTGATACAAATTACTGCTCTTAAATATTTAAAAATTCTTGTTTTTTCTTACATAACTTTAATAGAATAAAAATCTTTGTTACATTCAATACCAAGTTATATATATGAATTCATAACCCATCACCAGGTATTTAGTTGTCATGTACTGTCAGTATTAATCGATGATAACAATGTTCACTTTTTTACGCCACTGTGATTACTTAATTTATAATTTACCTATCATTTATTGAGGTAATGTTCCTAAGTGTTGAACATAGCTTTATGTTCTTAAATGGCCCTGTCAGCCACTTTTTAAACATATTACTATTATTATTATTGCTATTATTATTACCATTATTATTATTATTATAAAAGTGGGAATATGCTGACTGAAATTTTTCAAGCGTTTCTATTTTTATTCTGATACAAAGTGTTTGTGTATTAATAGGAAATTCTTGAATTGCAGAAAATTAATGTCTTGAAAATTGTGCATGATGCTTCCCAAAGGATAAATTGGGAGTTTTTTGAACAATTAAAGTCTTCTCAGGTATATGGTAACGTCTAGATAAGAAGTTATAGTGAAATACAATTATATATATATATATCGGACACCGCCCATCACAACACAGTATGTCTTAGTGTGAAAAACTGTATTTCAATATAAATACTTATAAGTAATCTGGTTGACATGAATACTCAAAATGATGATTGCATCTTATATCGATTCGTAAGTGTATACAGTTGAAGAATCTAAGGGCCCGCCCGAAACAGAAACGCAAACACAGCAACATATATATGGTTTTCAGTATTATTTTGAATTAATTTCTAACAATCATCATCAATTTATAAAGTATTAAAAACTATTTATATTAACTTACTTCTGTTATTCAAAATTTCTGAATTTCTTAAATATTCATAACTTTGTACATGATCATTGTTCAATATTTGATCCTTGAATTAGTTTATTTTCAAATAAAATATAAATAATGATAATTAAAGTGTTATATTGGATACAACACATGTACATAAGTGATACTAAAAACATAATTCCTACTATTTAAAAACATCTTTCAATGGACACTTAGAGACTAAGAAAACAATATACATTATACAAATGAATATATTTGAAAAGAGATTTTATTCAATATAATAACCATAGAAGGATTCGCATACAGATCAGTTTCTATTTGTTGTTAGATATCTAGAAAACGGGTAGTAAAATACACTAACATAGTCCATATGGTCGATGACTTCACATATTAATTTATTATTTACATTACTTTTTTGCGTATCATCCAAACAGTTTCAACAATCTCATCATATGGTAAGCAGAGATGGATAGTGGCTAGCAGTGGAATCTAGGACATGTGCTTCGTCCTATTTGGGACTCGTCAGCTGGATGTACCTGCATCTCAGAGTTGATGTTCACTCTGAGACTCGAACCCAGTACCTTTCGCTTCAAACGCCATTGCTTTATCCACTCGGCCACTGAGTCAAACAAACAATACTAAATGAATTTAATTTCATCATATGTTAGGAGTAAATCTAGTCTGCATTCAGTTGTCGACTATTTTATCGTTAAGCATCACTACAAAATGCAGCATTAGGATGGTTGTTGAATAATGTATGTCATTGATGCATAAGTTAGACATTTTTTGAAAATAGCTGATTGTGGAGCTTCCTGGTCGATTCGTTAATATCAAATGGTTAAATAGCCAAGCTTTTGATTGTTTTTACCATTCAAACTACAAAAGTCAGGAACGATAAAACCTGTATACTAATTAGTAGTAGAAGTCATAATAGTACTACTGGAAAGAAAAAGAGATAGAATAGCTACAAGCATTATGAATTTCCTCTATTGTGGATTTCTTAGAGGGGTTTTGTTATAGTAATTTAAAACAAACAACAATTGAATGAATTGATGTATGGAGAAACACTATAGTTTGAGTTTAATATCCCTTTAGGGAAAATCAGTTTTAATGTAGATGGTTTGTTTCATGGATTGACATTCACTGGGGTACCTTTGAAAAACCAAGAAGCATCAGATACCAGTTTTCATAGATTCTCATAACTTACACCAGCCTGCGATGAAAACTACAAATTAGAGGATTTGTTTTTTCGCATCACTGAGATTTCAAGTATGTACAGTTTATACTAAAGTGAAACATAAACATATCCAAATGTGCAACTGAATTTTAAAGAAATATGATGATTTTAGTCTATGAAATGGTGAAGATTTATAGCTCAGGTGGATGATTTTGATGGACTTTTGTTCTCTGAGCTGGATGGTTTAGTCGTGGAGCTTTCACCGTCCTTCTGAACGAAGTTTGTGCCGATGTCGTTCGGAAGGACGGTGAAAGCTCCACGACGAAAACATCCAGCTCATAGAAAAAAACTCCATCAAAAAAAAAAGAATTTAGTCTGTATTTATCCTTTCTCGACCCATTCACAAACCAATATCTTGTAAAATCAAATTTACATCCAACTATGATATCATTGCTTTACACAGTTTAACATTGATTGTTTAAAAGTCACATTAGACCTTGGTAAAAATAACCTTAATGACTGTATGGTTATCAGATCCTGCAGAGCCTGTTGTTTCTCTTTTTTTTTTAAAGACCAAGAAAATAAACCAACCGGCTATTTGGTCCTGTTTGAGTTTCTTACTGATGAGCTTCATAATAAACCGTAAAGCCTTTCTAAAAGTTTATAACTATATCCGTTTAACATTAAACAGTTAGGATAATTCTTGAACAAAGTGTGTTACGATGTGCTCACTTTAGGGCATCATAGTGGTGGACTGTTGGAGAATTCCAGTATGGAATGTGTTAATTTAGCCTAATTATTCTCTTAATCCTAGTTGTTATCAAGCAAATGATAGTTTTAATGAAAATCATTAAACTGATTCTCCGAAATCTCTACAATAATCAATTTAGTAAACCATCAAAAATTTGTAGACTTCTTTGTTAGTACATAAAATAACTAGTTGGTCATATCACTTAGAAACTGTTATCAAAATCTTTTCATTTCATTTATTACCACCCATTGGTTTATCCATGCAAAAATGATCTCCGTAATTCAATAACATTTTTTTTTAGTTTAAATGTTTTTTTAGTCACGTCCCAGTAAGCGGAATAAGTTTTCATTTGATAAACAAGTTATACAATCACAATAATAGTAATAATAACACCAGTAATAATAATTAATCATCTTTGAATTGCCTCTTACATCATAACATTTTCAATTGTAGTGTATAGAATAGTAATGGTTTAATATTTTCAGTAAAACTTTAGTTTGCCTAATGGTATATATACATATATATCTACAGATAGATATAGTTGGCGTTATATACCATCTGTTAATTGTTCATTTCTATTCTTGGTATTTAAATAAATAAGATCATATCATCATCGTTTCGGTTATGATAACATTGAAAATATAAAAATGTTGTCAATGGGTGTTCAACACCTGCCTACATCATACATAAACACCAAGTAGATACATAATAAAAGTGTTATTCCTTTTACAATTAAAGAAATATCATATTTTAAAAATTATTATACTGATTTTTGGTATAACCATCTGTCTTTTGTAGATAACATACAGTTAATGAATATGAAATGTACAATGAATGAAAAGAAAAACTCTATTCAGCAATACTTTGAATGTCCAGTCCAATGTACTAAGTGTATCATTCATCTATATTAGAGTATACAATCCCTTCTTTATAATTGGTTTCATATGATATTTAAATGATTTCAAATGATAAGGATGAAAACCACCTACATTCTAATTCTATCTCTTTTTTATCATGATAATACATAATATTCGGCTTATACCATATAATTAACTTATGTATATAATTTGTCCACAATATATATCTAAATCTATATCCATTACATTTCCCAATGATTTAAACAAGTCATTGTTCATTCTAACATATGATGTATTCCCTTTATTTTACATAGAAATAAACTTTCACAATTGAATGAATCTGTCATGGTAATTTATGGTCATTTAAGAAAAATTAGAAGAAAAAGAAAGGGAGTGTTAAAATGAAATCATCCAAAACACAAACATAAACAAATAAACAAACAAATAACTCCTTTTATATTAAAATTCCTTTATTCTTTATTTGTTACTATATTGAAGTCGTTTTTTTGTTTTATTGCATTCCTTTACCTTTGAAAGTTATCTACTCATTTACATGAATTTTTTGTGAGTTCATCTTTCTCTAAAAGAAAACAAAATAGAACTTGGAACAATGCACAATTTCTTGTTTTCATGAATAAACACAATGAATCTATGCATATAAACAGATAGAAGCAACAACAACAAAAAAAAACAAGTTTATCGTTATTCATGTATTGATGATTATAGGTCATAAATTGGAAGGTTCCATTAGTGTAAATGTATGTTGAAATCAGATATATATATATTGAATCGATTACCATGAAGTGTATTTATAAGTTATTATATAGGAATAATATATTTGTAAAATCTCAGAGAATGAATTTGAAGTAAATCCAACGTTTCGCCTGGCAATCTGGTTCAAGATTTTTTAAGGAAATATATCAAGGAGATATATTCGCTGAGATTTTACAAATATATTATTTTCATAGTCAAAAGCGTGAGTCGATTGAAGCTAGACCATCAAGGAAAACATGGAAGCATTGGACGGCCGTTTCGTCCCTGGTGGTTTAGTTTCAATTGACTCACGCTTTCAACTATGAAAATACTAAATATTCACAAAAACCCCTTCTGATAAATATATTATTCCTATTTAATGTCTTACATCAACTCATCGCCCAAATACTATGAAACTATTCTCTCTAATTTAGACGAAAGTTCTTATGTATTTATAAATAATGGATTATTCAACATATCGAATTTTTTTCTGAGTAAATATCCTAAAATATTAGATATGCATAATTTTCTGTCATTCCCTACTGAATAAAGAATTGAAATTATTTAGCTTATTCACTCTATTTTATACATTATTCAATATATTCCATCTTTATTACTAATATCAGGAAAATACTACTAATTACCATCTTCTTATACATGTTCTATGGTACCAGTTATTGAATTCTTATTGAATTCTATGAAAATTTTCATTCTTCTTTGTACATACATTTACAATCAACTCATTAGTTAATATCAGAATAATCACAATTTTTAAGAAAAAAACACAATAATCAATATTTATCAACCCTAAAATAGTGGTGTGCGGCCTATGCTCCTCCACGAGGGGTAACAGGCATAAGTAAGTAACCCTAAAATAACAACTTGATTTATTTAAATATTCCACTGAAAATTAGTTTAATTATTTAATTATTGAAATTATTCAATACTAAAAACTTATGAAAGAATCAAATTTCTACCACCCATCCCCAAATTCAATCTACAAATTTTAGGTCGTATTACTATGTAATATAATTTAGCCTAAGGTGTATTGTGTTAAACTATTATATAATAATAATTGAAAAGAAGTTATAAAAACATTTTATTTTTATGGAGTTTTGTTCTCTGAGCTGGATGGTTTGGTCGTGAAGCTTTCATTGTCGTTCATCATCGTTCAGAAAGATGATGAATGCTCCACGACCCAAATCATTAAGCTCAAAGAACAAAACTCCATCCATACACTTGAGCTACAAATCTTCCCAAACATCTCAAAAACATTTTATTGGTATCATTTCGTGTTAAATAAAATGAGTTTTTTTCGCTTCTTTCTTTAGAAATTGTTTACAAATGATGTTCAATTGGTTCATTGATAAATACAATTGTCAAAATGAACAATTCCTACAAATAGCAAACTTCATTGTTTTCTTTTTTAATTGTCAGCACAATTCACTGTTGATTATATGAGGACGCTATAAGTTAAAATTGCGATTAAGTGATTTCACTATGATTCAAAACAAACAGGATCACAGAAAACAAATATATAGAACAGTACATCAATAAAATTACTCACTGTACTAAAATAATCAAGAGAATTTCTAAACGGTGTTTTTACTAGTTCACTGGAGATTGATGATTCTTGTGTATTGTTTGGTATTGCTTGATTCGTGATGTAATGGTTAGTTGGTATCGATTGTAATTGTCCCGCATAACATTGTGACCGCTGTTGTGTTTCATGTTCGTGGTAATGATGATGGTGGGATTGTCCTTGTTGTTGTCGAAGTAGTTTGTTTGCTTGTAAATAAGCTAACAGAATGTGTGGCGGTGGTGGAACCTGCAAAATTTTCCGCAAGATAGGAAAACACAATAATTAAGGCAAAAATAATACGTATATAATTAACGAGAATAGAATGTCTAGCTATCAGCCATATGATTTTCTCTTAAGCTTCAATTCCGCACTCCAACCAATTCATGCTAATAGTTAAACATTTACAGAAAAATGCAAGGGTTTTAGTTTTGATTCTTGGTCAAGTTATGGGTGTACAGTGTGAAGTAGTTGAATACTGGATTGAAACAACTATCCAATGTTCCATGGTTATCAATGATGCCCTAAATAAGATCGATATGTAACTTTTTTGTTTTATTTAGATATTATTCAAAGAGCACAGCCAAGACCTCCCCATCAATTGAGCCAATGACATTTTGAACTGAAAACGAACATTATATATCTGGAATACTAATTTGGGATCCAGTAATCTACATTCTATTTGTCGTAGGTGAACACTATTAGCAAGTCGTACACTAGACGAAAGAGCCATCTGGTGTTCACTGCTTTTCAATGGGTCCTCATTTGATGTCAGTCTGTAACTTATACCAACACTAATCTAAAGTAATATCCAAGTATATTTCAACCTAACCTCGTTTATCTTCATAAATATTTCATTTGAAGAACACTATCAGAACAACAAAATTTTCAGCTCTACTTAATTGACGTAAAGGTACTTAGTTAACAGACAGAAAGTCAATTTTGGGGATTTGTGGGTATTGTAGTATTTCCAAAGTTGAATTCACGGGTCAATCTAAGCTAGATCACCTTTGAAAATTTAAAAGCACTAGTTGGTCATTTCATCCTAGTATGGGACTCACCATTAGTGCACATTCACGATCCCGCAATTAAGACTCGAGCCCACGATCCCCAGTTTTGCGCATGAATGCTCAACCACTAGATCACTGAACCGCCATCCAACTGTGTTAATGTCTAACTTCAATGTTTAACTTAGATTGACTGGTGAATTCAAATTTGGAAATACTACAATCTCCACAAATCCCCACTCTCATAATAATCATGTGCTCACTGGAGACTAGATTAAGATGCGTTTCCTGGAGTTTTAGTGGTCGGTAGAGACTTTAATCAACCTCAGACAATAAATAAAGGGTTGTGCAGCCATTCAAGGACCGATTGAAGTTAGACATTAACACAGTTGGATGGCGGTTCAGTGATCTAGTGGTTGAGCATTCATGCGCAAAACTGGGGATCGTGGGCTCGAGTCTTAATTGCGGGATCGTGAATGTGCACTAATGGTGAGTCCCATACTAGGATGAAATGACCAACTAGTGCTTCTAAATTTTCAAAGGTGATCTAGCTTAGATTGAACCGTGAATTCAAATTCGATGAAGGAAGTTATTATCTTCAGTATGCTATTTGTTTATGTCTCATTGGTATTGATGTTAGTTACTGATCAATTATCCATCTTTGACTTCAATTGTTATTGAAAACGAAATGAATCAATTCCTTAGTATTATTTCCTGCATTCCAACTGATTGAATCATTTGACTTTTAATTATTAAATTGTAAATTCTAACTTTGGACTCTAGGATAGCATCATCGCATTCTACTAATAATAACGTAATTATAATGTTATAAGTCAGTCGGTCAGTCACCATGTAGGATCAGGCACATATATGCATCAGTCCAAGTCGCCAGACATCGTTAGCATAACAAGATGAACACCAAATTCATACGAGTTGTTACTTCAATGGTAGTAATATACAAAACAAAAAAGATTGCATATAAGGAAGAAAGAAATATTTCGTAGAAAGAAAGGTATAAGATAATTTTAATCTCACAGTTTAATGGAAGACAAATAGTGTATACACCTACGCCATCGTGATCGGTTCTGCGCCATGTCACCCAAAATCTCCAACTACTACATACGATAATCACGCGGACCCCAATCAAGTAGTCTATATTTACCAACCAAGCCTAGACCAGAAGTTAGTGACTCTATGGACTGATACTATGTTTCAGTTTGGCCTCTCCTAACTATCTTCTAATTATCTCTAACACTAGTTACCATTGCTTATCGCAGTAATAGGTATTTAGGCATATATAACACATGGCCCAACCATCTGAGGACTAGAAACAAGTAAATATATCAATTCTCTTATTAAAATAATGATAAAGTCTACTTACCCAACCAACTGGAAACAAATAAGGTATTCTCATGGATAATTGATTTGTTTCTTCAATTGTTTTTGTAATATTATCCAAATTTGTACTATTATTACATAAATTTTCTTCATTTTTTAAATGTTCAATAGAATTAAATAGATCATATGTTGTTGTTGTTATTAATTGTAAATGATTATTATTATTCCATAAATTAATGTTTGTTTGATTAAATGGTGTAAAATATGAATAAAATTGTAATGGATTCATTGTATCATTATGTTTATGTTCTGTAAATTGAATAAATGATTTTTGAATAGACATTTAATCGAATATTATTCCTTTATTGTTTTATAGAAAAAATAAAATTATAAGAACAATTAAATTTTTAATGTAGTTCTAATGTAATCAATAATACTTTAATAAAAATAATTATGAGAAGCAGTAACTATTGGAGTTCAACCAGGTCTATTGGAAGATATCAATTCAATGAAGACATTGGTGAATGGTTGTTCCATTTCGTGGATTGGTTGAAGTTAAACATTAATACCGTTGGATGTTGACTCAGTGGTTTAGAGGTTAAGTGCTCACGCGCGAGACTGATTAGTTCTGGGTTCGAATCTCGTGAGGCGAGGTCGTGGATGCGCGCTGCCACTGAGGAGTCCCACAATAGGACGAAACTGCCGTCAAGCAGTGCTTCCAAGTTTTCAATGGTGGTCTAGCTTCAATTGATTCATGATCTCACTTACTTACTTACTTACTCCTGTTACCCCTCGTCGAGGAGCATAGGCCGCTCACCAGCATTCTCCATCCAACTCTGTCCTGAGCCTTCCTTTCCAGTTCTTTCCAGTTACTATTCAGCCTTTTCATATCGGCTTCTATTTCCCGACGTAGTGTGTTCTTTGGCCTTCCTCTTTTCCGCTTCCCTTCCGCATTCCAAGTTAGGGATTGAGTCGTGATGCACATTGGTGATTTTCTTAATGTATGTCCGATCCACTTCCAACGTCTTTTCCTAATTTCCTCTTCAGCTGGAACCTGCTGGTTTGTCCTCTCCCATAAAACGCTGTTGCTGATAGTATCCGGCCAGTGGATGTTGAGTATTTTGCGTAGACAACTGTTTATAAATACTTGTACCTTCCTGATGATGGCCGTAGTAGTTCTCCACGTTTCAGCTCCATACAGTAGGACTGTCTTGACGTTCGTATTGAAGATTCTGACCTTGAAATTAGTTGAGAGTTGTTTTGAGTTCCATATGTTCTTCAATTGTAGAAATACTGCCCTTGCTTTGCCAATCCTCGCCTTTACATCTGCAGCCGATCCTAATTGTTTATCAACGATGCTCCCCAGGTACTTGAATGTTTCCACCTCTTCCAGAGTTTCGCCGTCAAGTGTGATTGGGTTGGTGTTCTCCGTGTTGCATTTGAGAATCTTGCTTTTTCCTTTGTGAATGTTTAGACCTATCGATGCGGAGGCTGCTGCTACATTTGCTGTCTTCATCTGCATTTGATCGTGTGTATGAGAGAGGATCATGATCTCAACTATATAAAATTACTAAAATCTCCACAAAACACCATTCTGATAATTCTCAGGTTATCAAAAACTACAATTTCAAATGAAATTATGAATCTATTCCCCACGAATAGTTTAATAATAACTCTTTAGGTTACTTATTACTTAAATGATAACAGAATTCATTAAATATAAGTGCAATCTATCATTAAGTTAAACTACTAATAATGTATTCAAATCTATAGTTATATCATAAAACTACTCGACTAACTAGAGTAAGATAGTTTGATATCGGTCTATAATTTAACATACCTGTATACATAATGAATGTATACTACTAAATAATTAAATATATACATATAGGAAAGAAATTTGGCTTACAGTAATAATAATACTACTATTAATAATGATTATAAGTATTATGTTTTCTGATAAACTTTTGAATTGTTCATGCGTAGATAATTTGATTTATAATTTTATCTATAATCTAATCATTTAAGTCAGTATAAATAATATGATCATTTTTATATAATTAGGCTTTGTTTTTGAAACAATTCGAAGAAAGAACTTATTATTATTATTATTATCAGTAGTAGTAGTACTACACGGCTTTCAATTACTCACTTCCTATTTTAAAAACCAGTAAATATATTGTGAATACAATGGAATCGAACAGTACTGACTATTAGATACCTTACTACAATGTTTGTGCATAACTGACTATTCTATTCTAAATTCATTGCCAATATCGATGCCCGGCACTTCCACATTCATGAGTATGGATGGTGTTCACTGTCTTTAGTCCAGATCCAGTCGTGACTATGAGAGTATGTATTGGTTAGTTCTACAAATTTCCACTGTCACGTATTAGGCTCCCTACCTCTTTTGTTGTGAACGAGAACATAGGTGAGGGCAACCAAATATATTGGAATATAAAATTATAGAATCTCTTAGTAACATCTGAAAACATACAATAAATACTTCATTTGTAAAATGTCAATCAATTCTACCACATTTCATTATTCCTTCGTTTACACACGAATCACTCTCTGTTCTCATTCCCTTCTTTTGGATCTTTTTTAACCCTCAGTTTCCAGGCATTTCACTTTCGGTTGGTGACACACACTGCTTATATGTGTCGACATCAGTAGCACATACCACACTATTGCTTCGAAACATATTACTGACATATCAAATTACCCCGATCGACAAAAGGAGAAAGCTATTATAATTGGGAGAAACGAGATATTTGAACATATGAAAAACGGGTAACTTATAGACTGGATATGTTGAGTAGATCAAAGTGTCTCACATCAAGTTGTGGCATGATGTAGGCACGAAGTTTGACCAAACTCTGTCCGATAGTAATGTCTTTCCAACAAATCATTCATTATGGATAGTTATTTTACACTACAGTAAATTTTTTAAACGATTGGTTTAATTTCTAGAAATATAGTTCGAGTATTAATCATTTGAAAAATGTTGGCATTTGAATATATATATATAGAGGCCTCGCTAAACAAAATAAAATAATTTAAAGGCTAGATTTTAGCTAATTTTTATCAAATGTTGATATACTGTTCTAAAGTGGTGATTACGTCATTCGACTTCATTACTGAAAAAAATAACCTGAAGTTTGTGTTGACGATTTCGTTCAAAAGGACAATGAAAGCTCCACGACCAAACCATCCAGCTCAGAGAACAAACCTACATCAAAACCTATATCTATGAAGTTGTTCAAAATTTATAAGTATTATAAGTGTTCGAAGACTGTATACATACTTTCATTGAAGTTATCGCCACACTCAATATATATAACAAGAATTATTGAAATTAAACATAGTCTGGTTTACTTATTTGTCTACGTAAGATCAAAGCAAGTATCTGTAACACTTACAAATCGAAACAAGAATTTTGAAGCAAAAGTTATATACATGAATATGTGATAAATCAACTGTATAAAAAATATTCACTTACAATATTCTAGAAATAGGTACTTACCAGTGAATGAACAAAAATAATGTTTGTTTATTTTTAATTTATAGGAACTCAAAAATAATACCGTTACAAACCCATTTATATATTATTGAAGAAGGGGTAATGGATTTATCGTAGAATGAATGGCAAGTAACTCTAGTGAATGTCCTTTTTTACACAATTCCATAAATGTTAAAACAGATAGTTCTCTTTCTTTTCTCCCATTCAAGTTTATAATTATAATAAAATAATAGACTTATCTTTGATCTATACTAAAATATTAACACTTGCTTATCTTGTTTAAAATGAATGTTGATGGGGAGTGAGGGAAGAAAATACAATTCATTTCTAATGTTTGGATTATATCATCAGAATTTTCTATCCTTGCGCTAAAATTTCAACTTTATCCACCAATCAGAGGAAGGGGAAACTACAGTTGTTTATTTGATCAGGAATGAAAAAACATTTTATTGGTTTATACTATTTTCTAAAGTTTTGTGGACACGACCTTATATTTAGATCGATTTTCGGCCTAATTCAGTGGTTTCGATGTACTAACTAAGTAAAAAGTAGTAAATAGCATTTCTTTCAAAAAAAAAAAACGTATTGCCTATTGATGTACAGTAGGTATTCTAACATTTATCGTTATAGACCACCAAACTAACATTATACATCAAAATATGTATTTTGCGCAAATTGTGGTGATTACTAGAGTTCTGATTCCTTACTTTCTTTCTGCTACTAAACTTGTTTATAAAAGAACAAAATAGCTTGTTACATTTAGATCGACCTCATGTGATTAGCAAAAGACGGTTAGCCATCTCGATAGTATACAACTATTTATATTATTGATCAGCTGGATAAATCATACATTATCTAAGGTCCATGATATTACCTCCAAGTTCATGCTTGATTATCTGGATAGTTTTGTTTTCACATAGATATGTGATTCATACGATTAAATTTGAAATAGACAGAACACTCAGTAAGACCTATATAGTGTAATTTCGCGTGCAATCAGACAAAATGTTGTTTAGACATTTCTCGTTGTGATGATATCAACTGAAAAATTATTGAGAATAAGGGGATACTTACTGCTTGTCTTTTTTCAGTTTGAAAGTTTTTTAGGAACGCAAGACATATCCTTATCCATTGATCTAGGAGGATGTGAAGATGAGTTGATATGTCAAATATTCTAGTGAAAGGACATATGGTAAGTGAAAAACGGAGTGTTGACGGGTAATGCTAGTCAGTGAACTATTTAACCGAATGTTTTCTATATTATATATGCATATACATGGACTTATATTCATTCAGCCTTTCTTAGTACAGTTTCCTACTTACTCTAAGTATTCTTATCTTTAGGTAGTTGTTATAATGCGTATATTTTTTTTATGAGAACATAATACAGTGATTATAAACCATCCTATCAGAATTACGACCTATAATCTATATTAAAACTATTTGAAAAAAATTGCCTGTTTGTTATGAAGTAGTCTGGGTACCCAACTACTAATTTCAGACAATTCAGTGAAAATTTATTCTTATTTTTATATCATCCTAATCTAATTAACAAAACTTCAAAATTAGTTCTGTTGGTTTAGAACTCTGTCATTTAGTACTGCACTATATCAGTTCATCGTGTTTCTGTGCCTATAACCACATTGTAAAAACTGGATGTTAATCCTATAACAACATAATACCGGGTACTGTGGAATGTGCTAATGGGTAATTTCATTCTCTTTTTTTTAACTTTCAACGTCCATTTCACTAATTTAAACATAATCATTTATTTATAGTTGAAATCATGAGTCAATTGAAGCTAGACCACCATGGAA